AGTGAAGTCGTTTTGTGTCTGTATGAGTTTGTTGGGACTGTTTAGCAGCTCAGAGTTGATGTTAGCGCTGCTGCGTTAGCTTGTGCTAACAGGGCAGACTGTCTGCAGGAGAGCAGCTTTACTCAAAGCAGCAACATAAACTTTTCTGATCGGAGTCGAGACGGCCTGAGATCAGACCCTCGGCTCAAAAAGGATCAAATTCAGGTGTCTGACTGAAGACGTTTCCAAAGATGTGGCAAATCAACTCTGACTGTCAGAAACAGATCGGCTGTAGCTCAGAGGAAGAGCGGGTCGTCCTCCAGTCAGAAGATCAGCAGTTCGATCCAGTCTGCACGTTGAAGTGTCCTGAACCCCAAATGTTTCAGGAGGCTGTTTGATCCATGTGTGAATGAAAGGTCACTGAGGAGCAGGCGGCACCTGGTGCAGCTGCAGTGTGTGAATGTGTGAAGACAGTAGCACACTGTCACACAAGAGCTGCTCCATTATAACAGATCGACAAGTTTTTTGATTCGTTCCAGATTAAAAAACTGCACGATCTGAATCTTTATTTTCAGGGTGCAGGTTGTTGTATTTCTTTCTTGTATCAGCATGTTATATTGATTATCATGTCAGTTTTAAAATGTTTACAGTGTTGGATGAGGCGTTCACTGCCTCCGTGTTTTCCTCAGTGTTCTCTGGATGAACTGCAGTAACCTCTCAGTGACGAGCTGCATTCAGGCGTCAACAACAACTCTTTGTCCGTCCCAATAACACGTCCGGCTCGGCTTTCAGTCCCAAACAAAACCCTCCGTTCAGCGTGTGTGGTGTTCAGGATCAGAGTCACAGAAACTCTTCACGCACTGCAGGACGTCACATTGTCATTCTACGACCCCTCAGTCCCTCAGCATCAGACTGTCCAAACTGGTTTTGTTCGTCCTCCAAACTTTAACACTTTTCCTATTCGACCAAAATACGTCCACAGAGCTGAGCGCCATAATGCCGAGTCATGAAACATGACATCAAACGCCTCGTCAGATTAATCATCTTATTGATTTATTGTTTGATCAGAGAGTTCCTGATTGAACTCTGTTCATCAGTCGTCACACATTTAACTCCTTGTTGACTCTGTCAAACAGGTTTTTTAGACTTTTATGTGATGTCATCTTTTTATTCTGTCTTAATCCTAATTATTATAATTTTTCTATTTTATTGGTGTGTTTTTATCTCTCAGTCTCATTATCATCCGTTTTCTCTCTAACATACTCCTGATCTTCTTTGGTTTGCGTCCGGCCTCAGTTTGACATTGTTTGGTTTCTGTTGTTATTTACAGGTTTGTTGCTTCTGCTTTGACTTGGATGTCAAAGGTCTCTGTGTTTAAATCAATCAATCAATCAATCAATCAATCAATCAATCAATTTTATTTATAAAGCCCAATATCACAAATCACAATTTGCCTCACAGGGCTTTACAGCATACGACATCTCTCTGTCCTTATGACCCTCACAGCTGATCAGGAAAAACTCCCCAAAAAAACCCTTTAACAGTTTAAAGGTTCAATATAAATAAAGTTATAACTTCAAAATAAGATGTCAATATAATACAATCTATATTGTTTTGGTATTGGAACTATGGAATCATTTCATATGCAGCTGTTAAACATGTTTGCGTCGACGTGTTTCTGCAGTTTCAGATGATTTGTGCTGGTTTGTTGAAAATCAGAAGGATCAGACGAGCTCTGACATCAGGTCCAGACTTCACGCCACGTTTGTCTGTACCTACAGTCTGTGTCAGATCAGGGGCCTCATGTACAAAGACATACGTGGATTTCCTACTGAAACATGGCGTACGCGTAAATCCAGAAAATGTCATACGCATAAAAACATCCAGATGTATGAATCTGTGCGTACACATGAACCCACGCACATTTCCTTTGTACATCCCAATCAACATTGAATTGAGCGCACATGTTGGAGTAGCCTGTAAATACAGGCAGCGCATGGCTCCTCGCCGTGTCGCGCTTCAAGGCCAGCCGCAGTGCTCTGCACAGTTCCAGGGGGATTGCCCTCGGGAACCTAAAGCGGCTGATGAGCCAGTTGTCATCATGTGCCAGTAAATCCTCTCTGTCTCTGATCACACGCTCTCTTCATATTGCACCACTTACAATGTCTTCTAATGCTGCTAAAGCAGCCGCTGTTTTTAACGGTATTTTCTGCACCATGTTGCGCATGCTTTATATCCACTCATCTAACTGCAGACACGTGGGTGTGTTAATTGTTCATCAGTATTAATTGTTCATGTGTCTCTGATGTGCACATCACTCTAATTGTTTTCACAGTTATTTATTATAACAGTTTCCCAGCATCACCTGTAAGTGTCACCGAAGGATCAGCAGCTGTAGAAACGTGCGTACGCCAGCCATGAAGCAGGCGTGAGGCACCGCACATTTCCACGGTCATTTCACTCTTAACACACTCTTGCTGTGGAAAAGGACGTACGCCACGTTTTTGTGCGTATGCACCCTTTGTACATGAGGCCCCAGGTGATCGAGGAGTCATAAAATCATTGGTCATCTTTCACAACGTGTGATGTCATCACGTTATTCTATCCTATTTTATTCTTATTATCTCAGTCACATTTGGAGGAGTGTTCGAATTTGGACGAAATGGGACAACCTTCGTGCAGCGTTGTGACGTTATCGGCCTTCAAATTCGCCCTTCGAAAGTTTGCAGACCCTGAATTGACCTATGACTAAGCCCCGCCCTCAAACGCGATGAGCCAATCACAGTGCGTATAGCCATTCCCATACACTGGGACATTCTCTGCCTGGACGTCCATTGAAATGCATTACAGAAAGTCAGTTTGTTCGGTTTTATGAGCTTTTTCTGAGATTTGAAGTTTAAAAATGGTCAAACGGTGTGCATGGGGTACATGCAACTCTGACACAAGGTATCCTGAGAGGCTGGGCGACCAAGTGTATTTTTTACACTTTAAACCACATCTCAACCGAGAAAAGTGTCTCCTTTGGATAAAGTTGTGTGGTAACGTTAGACCACAACATCAACTCAACGTGAATAAGATTAACTGATGTCTACATCTGTTCTAAGGTAAGTCAACATTGTGTTTGAGGCAACATATTGTCACTTTGCTGGAAAGAAATATAAAGTTATCTTTAACATCTCTAGCTAACGTTAGCTAAAGTTAGCCTAACGTTAGCTCCTAGCTGCGTTGTTCATCATGTCACCTTGTTTGCTGGGAGTTCATTAGCCTATTTTGTTCTAGTTTTGTACTTTGGTGATCGTACATCATTGTTAGCTGTTGTCCAAAGGGCTCTAGTTAAGCTAACGTTAACTTCTGGAGCTTAGCTTCATTAACTTATCTGTAATGGCAGAGATAACAAAGGTTGGCAAACGTTATGCTGAATGATTCAGTGTAAATACTGTAGCACCAAAATAACGGAGAGACACTCTTGGTAAAGATGGTAAAAAGGCCGTTATCCTTTTCTCATATTCTGAGCCAAAAACCTTAACTTCAGTGGCACTTTAACTTGTTGTCTTTGATGGTGACGGCAACCAGATGCGGTTCACAAGCGTACACTGTGACCTGTAAATTTTGGCTTGTAATTTAAGCTTTTCATCGACCTTCTCAACAATAAAATGATGAATATATCCCTCCAATGCGTAGTTTAGGCCCTTTTGGTTACTTCTCAATGACATCTGATCGTTATGTCTCCAAAAATCATCAGTTGCCTCCTGTGAAATGCCGTGTACTGTGACACCTGCCATAGCGCCGCTCACTGAATGTTGATAGTTTGTCCGAGTTAGTGGAGGGGGCGTGGCTTAGCCATAGGTCAATTGGGAAAGGAGCAGGAGAAAGAGGAGGCGGAGGAGCAGGAGAAGGAGGAAGGGTCATGTGGACCACTGTTGGCAGGTTTCAGGTAGAAACTCGCTCTGACAGGTGACTGTTGTTGTTGATGATGATGATGATGATGATGATGATGATGATGATGATGATGGATTATATTACCTGTGAGAACACACAGGTGGAACAAACGTCGTCCACTGATTGGTTAATTCCACTTCTCCTGATGTAACAGCTCGTAAAGATACCTGATACGAACAGAAGACGACAGCGAGGGAGAGATTTAGCTGCAGGAGTTCAGTCACATGATCACGACTCTGCAGTTACACATGTAAACTCAGTTCACTGTTAAAGCTATAGTGCGTAACTTCTACAGGTCCGTAAATGTCCGTTTCACCCAAGCCACTACTAGAGGAGATGACACAATGCTGATTAAGCCGATCGGCTCCTCTAACGTCTCGCGGTATTTTTCAATATATATCATTTTTAGTATGCCTGTCGACCGGCGCCATTCCTGCACTGGCGCACAGGAAATGCTTCCTCACAACAAAAAGGGAGGGGGAGGAAGAGCAGAGTGTGTCATAGCAGTAGAGCGCAGGTAGAAAGTGAAAGCAACATGGCGGAGAAGCGGCCGAGACACGGTTCAGAAGTGGATCCTACCACAAAGGCAAGTGTTACTCTGTGTACATGGAAGTGCTGCCGGCTTATTAGTTGTAATAACGCATTATCCTATGGGAGGCAACAGAAGTTACGCACTATAGCTTTAACCTGCATTACAGTGTTGCATTATGGGTTGTTTGTAGCTTGATGTTGCTAGGCTAGTTAGTTTCTACCTGACCATCAGCAGTCAGTTTACTGGTGTCCAGTGAGACCAGTTTAACATGCAGGAGTGTTTAATGGTTTCTTTTGTTCAATGAACTTTCATGTTTATTTATGTTGTTTTCAGACTCTTGTTTTCGTCATGAGAACTTTTACAGAAAACAAATAATCTGACCCTAAAACAAGAGGCTATTTTCTCCCAAAGGAGACGCCATGACTAAAGGACATAACCAATCATGTTAAGCAGAACTGACGTCACGTTTCCACTGAGCGACAGCTGGTGGCAGCGACGCACCAGTTAAAAACCTTTAATTATCGTTTAAATAAAAACTGTTGAGTACGAGTCTGGTTTTCTCTCATTTTAATCAGTTGTCTCATATTCAGGCCAATACTGTAATTTAGATCCAAGCTCATGCTAACATCTGACAACAGGCTTCTCAGAATGTGATTGGACAGTGTGTGTTGTGGGCGGAGCTATGAGCACACCTGGCAGGTACATGAACACACAAACACACAGACACAACAGCATCATAACAGGACAGTAGAAATCTGTACAGGGTCATTAAAGGTCGTTTCACCTCCTCGTCGTCATGATCCATTAAAATTATAAAAACTGATGATGTCATCGACGTCTCCTGGAAATCAAACAACAGTTTCTGTTTCATTTAAAATCATCGCAGTGTTTTCAGACATGTTTCTGTCCGGTGAATTATTAATTAACACCGACGTGATTTCAGAAGCAAAGAGTCATTTAATAAAAACTGTTGATGTGAATCATGTCGTAAAAACTGTGTGAAGCTCAGAGCGCGGTCACTTCCTGGTTACACTGAAGGCCTTCGCACACTGAGTCTGTTTTTTTTTAAAAATCCGTCATCCAGAAGAATTCGTTACACACAGACTGAGATGTGTTTTATTCTTCTCAAGTGAAAATTCACAACACGTGACAAAATGAAAAGACACATTTCCTCCTTTGTCTCTCTCGTCACTGGAGTTACCTATCTGACATCACTTCCTCCCCATCTTTCATTTGTCACCACAGCTGCATGAAGGGGCGGAGCTACGTGTGGTCCACATCCTCCTCCTCGTCATCATCATCATCCTGAATGTCACTATCTGACATTGTCTTCACTGATTAGAGGTCAGACGTCTCTAAAGACTCTGACGGAAGCAAAAAACGCAGGAAACTGAAGCTGTTCCACGATGTTTAATGACGGGTGAAACTGTTGGGCTCAGTGTGTGAACATGACACAACGTGAGGTCGTACTTATTTATGGACATGCGACAAAACAGACTCAATGTGCGAAGGCCTTTAATGTCAAAAGCTTGGAGATGCTTCTTAAACACACCTGACATCATTCTAACCTGCTCCAATATTTTCTGCTCTGTCTGAAAACTAAAGGTCCTCCAACATGTCCGACCTCACAGGCGGTTTGTTCCTCCTCTTTAACACCACCCACAGGAGCGCTTCTGAAATTACAGATCGACACTTCCTCACACCTTAATGACAGAACTTAAAGCTCCAGTGTGTCCAATCCAAACCTTGATCTCATGGTTGTGTTCTCGTTCCCTCAGAATGAGATGTTTATGTCTACATAGGGAGCAGGTCCTTGTCTACAGAGTTCGTCTCATTCTGAGGTAACGAGAACACAACCATTAGATTAGATTTAAATCCGACACACTGGAGCTCAAAATATGTTCCGTACGTAGGGCTGAGTATCTGAACTCTTATCGACTGAATAACTCAGTACCAGGTAGGATCAAATCTCCTTCAGTCAGATCATACCTGCATTTGATCCTTTATGGTTTTGCTCGAAGCCAATCAGTGCGTTCTTTGATTTAATGTGACGTGTCATTGGCCCACAAAACCCAAACAGTCTGGTGCGATGAAGACGAGCGCGGTGGTCAGTGTGCCGACACGCCACCGAAGCGTTAGAAAGTTTGGTGACGATTTAGGCAACTTAAAGCTTCCATTCACATAATTATCGAAATGATGTAGAAAAAGGTATCAAATGACGTTCTTTATTGGTTTGAGTATCACTTTAAGAGTTCTGGTATCTTAATGTTGTAAACGCTGCTCAGCCCTGTGTGTACCTGACGTAGGTTAACTTACGTACGTCGGTTAAAAAACGCTGACTTTTGGTTTCAGACGGGACACGGTGACCTCCTAGGTCAAAGTCATGTGTTTCATCCACTTCCTGTGTACACACACTTTGTCGCTCTTTATTCTGCATCAGCTGACTTCCTGTCTTATCTCCTGTCATAATGACTACGGCCACTAGATGTCGCCACCTAACAATAGCGGTAAATATGGGTCAAAAAAAGCTCCTTGCGCAAACCACAGACTGTGTATAAAGATGGACAACATGATAGTTCCCTAAAATTGAAGCCAAAACATCTGAATGTGGCTGGCTGCAGTACAGGTCATAAACCCCGCCCCCTCCATGTTAGCGGATGGGAGCCAAACTGAAAACTCAAAGAGCATGTCAGATTAATTTTTCCCAAAGACTCTTTTTGTGTTTCAGTCAGTTTGGGTTTAATTGGTTATTTAAGGTTGTAAAAAGGAGGATGTGACATCATGATTGATGGCTGTGTGAGCCAAGCAGTGTGCGTGCCGGGTGCATGGGCGAAAACTTGGTATCACAGAGATCTGTACAGCGCAGACTCTGGCTCCAAATGACGTCACCAGAACAAGATGGCAGCGGCAGTATCAGGACATTCTGGCTTCATTTTTGTACAGTGGGAGGAAGTGGAGACGCGTCGTCCATCTTTACGTACAGCCTATGGTACAGATGATCTCTGGGGTTGTTGTTTCTTTTCAAAGTCTCAGTTAAAAACACACTCAGATTAAACCGTGCAGAAATGATTCCCTGTCACATCACCAACAATAAATAAGAATACAGTTCGGTAACATTGCTCCATAAAACACCACCATGTTTAAACGTGAAGCAGGAGTTTGATCCACGGGGACATTTTAAATAAAGTTCAGTGTGAAGGCGTTCATTCGGGGACACTGGTGTAAACACTGGAAATAAAAGTAAAGCACTGTTCTCTCAGCAGTAACAAGGAATCAAACCTGTGACCTTTCAGTAACGAGTCCGTCCCTCTGACCTCAGATCTGTTCACTGTCCTTTAACTCCACCGAGGAAGGCTGCAGCTCGCCGTCAGTCTGCTTTAGATTCCACTCTGTCAGAAATGATGACAAACACTCAGAACGATGTTCATCCAGAGTGGATGTTTAAAGACACCTGGACACAGCGTTGGAGGCGGGGCCTGTTCATTCCCGTTAAAGTTGCTCAGCGGTGCATGAAGCCAAAAAGCTCGATTTCCTCGGTATGAAATGACCTGTATCGTCCACAGTGTGCAGCCCACAGAGCCAGCGCACTGGAGACTGAACAGCAGCTGAACAGCTAACTAGAATGGCTATAAAATGATTTGATTTGATTTGATAGACTTCTCAAATGTTATTGGAGTGAATGGATCAAATTCTGATAGTGAAACAAGTCATTTCTCTGAGGCTGTGATGCTCAGAATAATTTATCCACTGATTTACAGTCGTCTCCTTCACAACGTAAGTCTGCGGGAAAAATGGGTGTTTATGGTCTGGGGGGCGTCAGGTGACGGACCCGAATGGTGTAATTCCACTTCTGGCCACAATGTAATATTGGTTTACATGCCTGGCGCTGTTCAAAGAGCTTCGAATTTACATGAACCTGTAAAAATCTGAACCTGAGGCGCCTGCATCCACAGGATATCCAGGAAATACTCTGGGATGGTTGGCAGACGCCATTTAAAAACATTTATTAGGACACCTCAAACATCTGGGGCCGTATTCACAAAGACTCCTAGTATGAAGAGTTGCTTGACAGAAAGCGTGAAAGAGTGAAGAAAGAAAGAAAATTATTGGAACTGTGACGTTTTCTTAGAATTTCCCCTCAAAGTTAAGACGAGGTCTTGTGAAGATAAAAGTTATTCACAAAGTGTCTCAGACCGTTAAGGAGCTCCTGAGGTGAAACACTGTTCGGAGCAGAGAGGAGGACTTTATGAGTTTATGAATCAGAGGAGAAAATGGTGGAAACACAAAGAGGTCGGATAAATTCTCCAAACACTGGAGGACAGTGAGGAAATGAAATGCTACCGACTAGAGGGTGCAGGGAGAATATGTGTGGTCAGACTCAGAAGGCGTACGCACACATTTCACAGCCAATGGAATAATGCTGTAACGCCCGAAATAAAATCACAACAAGACAAGATTTTTTGGGTTCAGCAGTGAACGTTAGCAGTGTCTCAGTTCAGGGCCGCAGCCTCCAAAGGCTGCATTTGAAGGCCAACTGTGTCACATCGACGCGTCCCACGCGGATGCAGAGGATGAATCCTTTGCGGTCCAGCCTATCCCAAGATGCGTCGCACGCTGGTGACAATTGTAATTGTAAGTTAACAAACAGTTGTTAACTAGCTAACGGTTAACTGTTGTTAACATTACGTTAGCTGAAAGCACACAGCTTAAACAATCTTAATTTAATAAGTTTACCTGAAAACACTCCATCAGCCTGAAATGTATCAGATGGCGGCGTCTCCGGTGTATCAGATGCGGCCCTGAACTGAGACACAGATGTTGGCAACACTTTCACAGTCTGCAGTTCATCTCGTGTCCACTGGGTGTCCTCACACCTTACAGACTCACAGAGGGGTGTGTCACTGACAACCAATCACATCTGTTAAAGGAATGTGTCACCCTTAACGACAGGGTCGACCACACCTCCTCACTGAGGTCACAGTTTCTGTCCCTCTGAGAACTTCCCTAAATAATCCTGACCTCTGACTCCTTACTGAAAATATCTAGGCTTCAGAGCTCTGTGAGTTTTCTCTGAATGCTTGTGAATACGACTCCTGAGGTTTAATCACAGTTACAGTGATAAAGAAGCTGCTTTGAAAAAGTTCAGTATTAAGGGTGAGGAGGATTTTATTATTCTTGTTTTGATCATTGATGGGGCATGATAAGAGTGTACTGAGGCGGATCATTTGAACACGTCGCTCTGAGTGTTTGTCACCATTGATTTCAGACAGTCGATGAACCCGTGACTGAATCATAATGAACAACAGTTAGCTGCAGCCTGAGGTGACGGAGGATCAGAGGGACTGAAGGCACCGCTGACTGAACTCCAACTGCTTGTCCTTAAAATCACGTCAAACTGCAGAAGAAGAGTCGCTCAGTCTGTTGGTCAAATAAATAAATAATAAAAGGGAAGAGAGGGACGTCCCGTTTGGTCCTCTTTATTCTAACTTGGTGTTTGTTCATGTCGCTGCAGGACACTTCCTGTCCATTAAGACAATTTGGTTTGGAACAGATGGACCCGTTTGCAGAGAGGACGTCGTCTCACCTCAAACTGAAACCCCAGTCCTGTGTTTTTATTGGATGGGCTCCTCTCGCCTGGAACAGCAGCCTGTTTTCACCGCAGCGGTAAAGTGCTGCACGCTCTGTTTTTACACTCATTGTTAGAGGATCTGTCTAGGTCTTTGTCTCTCTGACTGAGACAGACAGCGGTGAAATTTGGCAACAGGTAGATTTTGGTTCTGAGAGGAGGCGGGATGATTGACTGAGGGGGCGGTGGCCCCACAGGGTCACCAGTAGAAGGACCGGGACAGGAAGTTGGTGGCGGCGCCCAGCCAGCTGTTCCCTTCCTGGCTGGATCCCACCCGGCTCACCGCCTTGTCGGGTTCCTGAGACGGGCTCTCGTCCTCCGGCAGGTAGTCCGGCAGGTCCACATTCTGCTCCACCTCCACCGAACCGTCCTCCGCCAGCGGGATCAAAACCTGGAGACAAAAACTTTTGTTGGACTTGCTTAAAGTAAGTGATAGTGTGAATGATCTAATGCTTGTGGAGTCCCACAGGGTCATCTGCTGGGTCCTCCTTTGTTTATAGCGTTTCCCAATGGTCGGAGGCTTTCCTGCTCTACTGCCGTCCTTTTTATGGAGACAACTGTTCTTTACTAACGTGTCAGAAAATTAGAATGTGTTGGATGATACCACAGGTGAACAGAAGCTCTGCTTTTCTAAGTCTGGACTCAGACAGACATCTTAATTAAAACTGGTAAACTGTGTTCCAAATGATTCTGCACAAACTGTTTCTGTTCATTTTTCCCAAACATTCAATAGAATGAAGGTTGTTTTTTTATCCTCAACAATTAGATTATAATGTGAATGTTATTACAAGTAAAACTACTGATGATGACAACAGCTTTTTTAATATTAATATAAAAGTATTCAAAATACACTGTTCCAAATTATGACGCAGTCTAAGAACATTCAAAATGAATTCTAAACACATGGTAAAATCGTTTTTTTGAAACACCAAAAACAACATGCTTACAGATAAAGTTATACATTAATATTTGACATCACTTTACTGACTCTCTTACATCGACCCTGTAGGACCATGTTTAGTTTGACTGTATTTTATTTGAGGATGACACTTTTGCCTCTCAGAGCTGCTGTTTTGAGGTTCCTGCCACCCACACTCACAGACCTTCTGTTAAGGAGGTTCTGCAGGGTCTCAGTGGGGTTGGGGTCAGGTTGTGATCGGGGCCACACCATTATTTTTCTCACCTTTTGCCCACAGCAACCATGGCAGGAAATGATCAGTTAGGAATTCTACATATTTTATGGAGGTCATTTTAGCTGTTTTCACCAAGCAGTTTAGTTTGGTGCAGTACAGTGCGCTCTTTGTCTGTTCCCACAGTGAAAAGTTGTGGGTGGTTCTAACTGGTTCTAGTGTGACGAGCTTTATAATGTGGGATGGCCTCTTTCAGTAAGTTTCGCTTTTATGAAGACCAAACTACAACTTAAGTGTGAAACTGAAATCCTGCTGATGTGTCACTCACATAATAATCTGGAACACAGTGTGAATCAGTGTATCTCATCAGGGCGGTGAGGTGGTTGCTGTGAGTCGACGGCTTTTAAAGTTATTTCCAAAATAAACAAAGACAAACATTTAGCTGAGAACAATGGACTCTTCATTCAGGGTCACTTTGACTCTGCTGCCCCCTCCTGGTGTAAAGACTTAACCTCATTTAACCCCAACAGATACATCAGCCATGTGTTCATATTGGATCCAAACATTTTAGGAAGTGGAGGCTGAGAGGACGGTCGCCTTCGTTGGAAACAGGAATGTGTGTAAGTGATAAATGGTTTATAACAGACTATAGCCCCTTTTACACTGCCAGATTTTCGGCGAATGTTGGGTCATTTTGCTGGCAAGCTGCGAGCGTTTAGACACACAGAGCCGGATTGGCGAGTTGATCCGAGGTGCCCAATTTTCTGCCTCGTAGGGTAGATATATTGGAGGAACCCTTTTAGTCACTGTTTACGTCACACGCTGAGCTACACGTTTTGTTACTTGCTCACGCCCCCCATTGCCCCGAAAAAAGGCACATTCTGTATAAACAAAAGTAGGTAGGCGGCATTTTGCTGCACACCCCGAGTTTGTTTTTATACTGCCAATGCTGAAAAAAAACTGACTGGGCTTTCCTGCTAATTTGCACAACTCCTGTCTAAAAAGGGCTTATAATGCAGCTGTGAGCAGATTGAAGTGTTAAAGTCTTAGTTAACATCTCTACGTCCTCCTGTGGACACACTGAAGAGAAACAGATCATTAATCAAACAATAATATAATAATAAGAATAAAAAACACAACTGTGATGATATAAAATGTTTTCATAGGGTTATAAATGTTGACAAACACTGAACACTCCATCACAGTGTTAGCAGTCATTTATCTTTTTTTATACTGATAAATGATTTTAATATTTTGAATCGTCGCCTGAATTTTGTATTTTCTGAACATAAATAACAGACGTTTCCACCATAACTTGGTGCATCAGTAATCACCAGAATGCAGGAAACCGAGTGTTTGACACGATTAACTTCCTGGTGAAGGAGCAGAGCTTCTGTTCTTCATCGTTTATCTGGCAGGTTTTTCAGTGAGGCACAAACTCCATAAATCGACATGTTTTACACCTTCAGCTAGATTTAAATTCACCCCGACAAACGTGTGGAGTCAAATCAAACGTGAAAACTGAAACTGACCTCGTCTCCGTTCTCTCCTTTCACCACCTGCTGAGCCTTCATCACCTGAGTGGAGGCGATCGCAGACGCCAGAGCCTGAAAAAGGATCAGTTACAGTCAGCCATCACATGTTCTGTTGCATTCACTGACCAGGTCTGTTAAATACCACAAATAAACACACATGGTGTTAAGTTACCAGTTACCATGGTAACAGGATATGTTCGTCTACTTGCCGGGTGTTTTAAAGAATTCCAGGTTTTCCAGGATTCCTGGGAATGACTGTTTTTTTTACAGTACACGTCAGAGGGTGATGCTGTACTGTGTCTCCTGGACATTAATCTGACAGATTCATGAGACGAGCTTGTTAAATATGATGTATGATGATAGTTTGAACGACAGCACACAGAGCAGTCAGACTGTTACTGTGAGCAGGTGGTCAGACGGAAAAACTTGTTACGTCTCATTTATAGACTGAATTATTTGATCACAGAGAGGTGATGATTTGAACAGAAACAACATCCTGTTTTCAGAGTGTTGATGAAGAGGAGCGCTGGGCGTCGTCTCACCTCGGCCTTCAGGTCTGATCGGATTCGGACGATGCATCTCTTCACGGTCATCTGGAAGGTGAAGCTGATGACTCCTCTGATCTTCAGCAGAGCCTCCTCACACAGACTCCTCCGACTCTGAGCGACAGGAGAAGAAGAAGATGATGATGATTACTGTTTGAATATTCCTTACGTACTGGTCGCCCTCAGCTGTGGTGAACTGGAGCGAACACAGTGAGGAACATTTGGAGATGAAGAGACTCTAAAGTTTTTCAGCTGATCTGAAAGGTCTGTTCTGTCTTTGATTTCTCAGCCTGTAACTTTCAGACAGTGACACACTGATGAATGAATGAATGAATGATGTCATCATCGAGGGCTTCCTGCTCACCGAGTCGTCCAGTCCGTCGATGTGGAGGATGACGGTCTTGGCCCTCTTGTTGCTGGAGCCCAGGAAGAACTGGGCTTTGCGGCGGCTGCTGACGGCCTCCTCGGCCGGCTCAGAGTCGGCGCTGCTGGACGCCTGCAGGAGCTCGTAGATCTCAGACGCCAGCAGCTTCGTCTCTCCAGGAGTCGTCGCTCTATGATGACAGAACAAGAAGAAACTCTTAATGAACCAACAACGACCTCTGATGTTTAATGTAGAGTTTATAGTCCCTGTCGGTGCAGCAGGGACATGCACTCTGCAGAACGCTGCCATCACAAAGAGTGACGCAGTTCAGCCAATCCCTGTGGATTCTGAGCGACCCTGCTATTTAGTCCAATCACTGTGACTTTACTTCAGATGTGTTTTATGTGCATCTAAACGTGCCACGACACTGATGGTCTCAAGCGCTCCAGGTTTTTTTGGCCCTATGTGCCACTGCTGCTAGCTTCTGTTACGTTAGTGCAGCTGAGGGTCCTGCACCGGGTCAGGTACCCAACAGGTACCTCGCAAACAGCTGTGTGACGGGTAAAAATATGTTTATGTAGAAACTCACAGGTAAAAATGAACTCCAGGTGAGAACAGTCTTTTTTTATTTTTCAGAATAAAACGCAGTAAACAGATGTGCAGTATCTGTGTAATATTCTGACAGTTTCTTTTATTTTGAAAGCCAGTGACCCAAGTGTAACCTTTGACCCCGTGGTCACATTGGTCACTGACGTGGAGGACTCCAGCCATGAACCCTGTAACTTCATTTGACCAATCACACTCTGTAAACTTAATATTCTTTCCTCTCTGTTTCGAACCTTTACTGTCTCGTGTGTGTTTTACTGTGTCAATGCTGTAGGACCAACTGTCCCTCTGGGGACAAACTGAGCTCTACTTGACGTTAGCGTGATGCTCTTCTGTCACCAACATGTGGGTCAGCTGTCCCTCTGCAGTGACACAAGGCACATCTTCAAACAAAGGTTCTATCTGCAGATGATTTTATAAACAGATGTTTTGCTCTGTGTTTGGGGCTCTCGTCCACACAGACAGTTTCAGCTCACTAAAACAGAGAACGCCCTCTGAGGTTACTGTTGTTCTGTGTGGACATTTTAAATGCAGCATTTGGAAAATGATGATGTCATCTTTTCAAATCACACATGCCCATTGATGCTTTGTGTGATGAGCTAACGTTGTGTCGGCACCGCCTGGTCTAATGACGACTTTAAACTCAACACTTCACAGATGAACAGAGGCGTCTGCGGTTTAAAGTCCACCTGAACTGACAGTTTTGGATCAGGACCAGTGGAACCAGCAGACGGTGGGACACTTTCCAGACTGGGACTGTTGTTGATGAGGAGTGGAAGGGAAACTTTCAGAGCGTCAATCGTGTGTTTCAGTGAGCTCCTTCGTCTCTGAACTGAACGAATCAAACGTTTTAAAGAGGGTAACATCAGCCTGAACACTAACGCCCGGCCGCAGGTAACGCTGCCCAGCACGTCTAGAGAAGAGGAGTCTCGCAGCTCGCCTGTTCTTTTTTTCACATGATGCATTTTCAGCAACAGACAGGAAGTGACAATGTTGTTTTAATGATCACATGACATCATACCTACAGTTTCAATGTTTATATCTGTCAGTCATAAAAAAAGTATTTACTTTCAACTCAACACTTCCTTTTTCCGTTTCAAAATAAAAGTCCCCAAACAACGCTTCTGAAGACAGAATCCCCTCACTTGTGAACACCAGGCTTTTATTGTGAAATATTTGCAGGAGCATGTTGGTGATGATGCAGCAGCTGCACGGCTCCATAATCTGTGCAGAGCTGTGGAAATACAGAAGTTACAGCAGCAGCAACACTGTCTGAGTGAACGCTGCACATGTCAATGTTTGGAGGCGTTCTAGTGCAGACGGAGACATTTTGTAAAAGGAGGTCATGTGGACAGAACTTTTTTTTTAACAGAGGGGAAAAATATCTGTTTACAAAAATACCTGCATATGTTTCTGAAAATGCCTCTGGAGACATGACACCAAACACACTGTCCTTTTGTTCTGTAAGGTGATGTGTGAGGAGACATCGATTAGAGTCAGCGATGAATGAAAAACAGTCACTGCTGTCCCTCTGAGGATTTTTTTTTTCTCTGTTTAATATCAAAGTGAATCTCTTTGTTTTGGACATTTGGTCGGACAAAATGAAACACGTGAGGACATGATCTTGGACTCAGGGACACTTAATCTTATCTTGGAACACGTCATAGACCCTCCATTATTATATGAGAAACATCCCAGATGAGCAGTGTCAGTCTGCAGCTGGATCACAGATGACACGTTGTGGAACAAACATTACACCGGATTCAAACGAGAGATCCGGACTGTACGGCTGCGTCAGACTCACTTCTGTACGACGTTCTGGAGGCTCAGCATCATCCCCAGCTCCCCCTTCAGCTTCTCCCTGTTGGCTCGGCATTCTGCCAGGTACCGGATCGCCTGGGAACAACAACCAATCACAGTTAGACTGACGACAGCAGGTTGATGGCACCAACCAGCTGTACTCATCACTAACACACTCACCAGTAGGGCGGAGTAGACCACCTGAGGGTTGGGGTTGTCCAGGAACAGGATGAGTCCCGGCAGGCAGCCCTGGTCCTGGACGATGGCCCTGCGGTTCATGGGGTCGGCGGCCAGGTCTCTCAGCTGGTTGACCACGGCCAGGGCGTCCGGCTCCGCACTCATGGTTGACTGTCACTCACCCATGCAACGACCAACTGAGGACGGCAGCAGCAAACATTCAGTCAAACTCTGATACGAGTGCGAGGCTCCGACAGGTTCAGGGTCTCTGCTGTGCGTCTGTTCTCTCCAACATCAGCCTCAAACACACGCTGAGTACCATGTGACGTTACTGTACAAGGCGAGATCCAACATGGCGGCGCCCAACTTTCTCAAATATTAAATAATACCAACAGTAAACTTCTTGTCGTGACCACCACAGAAACCCCACCCCTCAAATCATCCCATTGGACAATGGGAAAAAAGCAAAGATGGTGCGGGGCGCTGTGAGGCTCTGAGCTGAAGGTTTTTCAACTCAAGGGGTTCAGAGCACTCCGGCAAACACGCCAAGGCGCCTAGAGCGCACGAGACACGAGACGCACAGACTTTGCAGCTTTTCAGACTTATTTTGTGGCTGAATATAATTTGTAGCTTCTTAAAATCTGAATGAGGATAGTGATAGTGAGATACTGGCTACAGTGATGAAACAAAACCAGCATCAGTTGGACTGTATTCATAATCAATACGCCAATGAGTATGTGTGTGTGTGGGCGGGGCATAAGCACATACAGCCAGCAGCAGCAGCGACCCAACATCTGACACCGGCACACCGTGAGGACAGAAACAGAGGGCTCTGTGGGGACGGAGCACCTGCTGCAGCAAGCCAACACGCCGTCTGTGGTCATTTTGACTTGACCAGCTGACTTCACTACAAGCTGATTGGCTGTTGAAACAGGTGACGTGCTTTAAAACCAGCCGCCGGCCATCTGACCAGCTGAGTGTCAGGTGACACCATCAGCCGGCTTGAGTCGAGCTCAGACCGGCCAGTTCACACCGCTGACACTTTTCTCTGTGACGTTCTAAAACGGTTTCATCTCGTCGTGAATCTTTGGTCTGAACTGGACTT